TATATATATATATATATATATATATATATATATATATATATATATATATATATATATATATATATATATATATATATATATATATATATATATATATATTAGATAGATAGATAGAAAAATTATAAATCACTAATATATTTGTCATCTTTCGTACATTTTATTTTAATTTTATCGTTACAGCATTTGGAATTCAACGTGTGTTAATACGTACTGGCGTACTTGGTACAATATTATTTTGCGCCTTGACAATACCCGATTTTGGACCATTTATGAATTTAGTTGGTGCATTAACAAATCCACCAACTTGTGTTGTACTACCAGCACTGACAAATTTATACCTAAATGCGATGAGTATTGATGAGAAAACCCGCGATTACAAAATACCGACATTTCCTGAGTAAGAGAAATTTTCTGTGCTGAATCCACACTCTCTTACAATTTTAGTTTCTGGAACTAGCAAAGAAAAAAATGAAATGAATTCTTAACTCTCAAAAAAAGGAAGGAAAAATGGAAAAAATATTCTGAATTCATTAGTTTTTCCAATCGGATAATTTAACTAAATTGAAGTCAATTAATTTGACTAAATGAAAATTAATGTTATTCATTCATGTTTTTCGCATTTATTTTTTTCGCATTTTTTATTTATTTATTTATTTATTTTTTGCAGAGTAATACGAAGGACTGATATAAAAAAATTGCTATGGAACGGTTTCATCATTGGTGAGAATTTTCAGTTTTTCATTCCCTGCAAATTTTTCAATAATTTTTGATAAAATTATGAAATTTCGAGCAAAAACCTAAAAAGTTGAATAAATTTAAAACAAAATTTAAGCAAAACAAAATAAAAAAAATGCGTGTAGTATTTGATACGTTGCCTATTTTTCGAAAATCTTTAATTAAATAATGTAACAACTAAAATTTTTTTTAATCACGCCAAAAAATTTTAATTGTTGTGTTATTTAATCAAATACTTTCAAAAAAAACTTCAAATTTGGAACCAATTGAAATTACAAAGAGTTTTTTGGCATAATGTTTAATATTTTTATTTTATTTACTAAAATTTTACGAATATATATAAGTAACTCTTTTTCATTTTGATGTTTTCCTTTAACAAAAAGTAAAAGAAACAATGAAATTGAAACAAACAAACAAAAAGCTATTGGTTGAAAGGTTGCAATTGTATATTTTCAAATGAATTTGTTAAATTTCTTCATCATAATTTTAGATTATCTTCATTGCATCTATAATTAATAATGATAAAATGCGATGATTTCACTTATTTGACCTTAATTTGCATTAGATTAATAGTGCATTTCTAAAATTTAAATTAAATTGGTGATGATAAATAATTCTTATCAGTGTTGATATGATAATTTGTATTTTGTTTCAGTGATTGCACTAGTAGCTGGTATTGTAAGTGCTTATTTGGCTATACAAGAAATTTTAACAGTTCATTTTACACCACCATGTTATCTTCGCCCGTTATTTGCTCAGACTGCTACAATTTTGCATAATGAAAAAATTAATTGCTGTGGAATGAAGCAAAATATTTACGTCTTTGGTAATGCTACCGAAATGTGTCAACTGTCACAGCAAACATTGTTATAGCGATACGGACTGTTATTTATTGTTCTTCATTAGAATAAATTAAAATTGTAAAATTCATCTTACTGTATATTAAATCGATCTATTTGAGCAACAATAATTGTGTAATTTTAAATTTATCATCTGGTAACCGTTAAGAAAAATTCGTGAAAAAATTAAATTTTATTATCCATTAATATTATTTCGTTCTTATGTCTTTTTCTGTGCTAAAATATTATCGAAGACTTTTGGTATTTCGAAATATACAAATATCAAATGATAATATCGAATGAGAAAATGATTGTCCAATGAATTAATTGATTATACATTTAACGTTCCTTCTTTTTTTTGTATTAAGACAAAAACAGAAAAAAAGGAAACTATTCAGTGTATAAATCTATTTCCTATTACTTCTCCATTTTTTTTCCTCTTCAATTTAATAAATTAATTAGTTCTATTTTAATACGAGAAAATTTCGTAATTCTACGCTCATTCATTATTTCTTACTTTATAAATATTTAACAAATTCGAATTTTACATACTAAACTGTCAAATTATCTATACTGTATTATAACTTAAATTTAACATATTAATTTGCTAAACTATCGATCTTGCATTAAACAATAACGTTTCATTTGCTACTTAAATCAAAAATTATATGTCACAGGCTTTGACAAGCAAAAAAAATAATTTGGAGACAAGTGAGATTTGAAATTTTTAAATTGTTAAATTCAATGAAGTAGAATTTTTAGGTAGTAAAAAAATACAAATCGTTTCTTCTTTTTTCTCCTTTTTTTTTTTTGCTCAAAGTATTACCATGTAAACCATTGAATGACTATGCAGGATCGATCCCTTTTTTGTTTTGTTGAAAATAATTCTGATTTGCAGCATTAAATTTTGTAGTTTGTTGCATGGATACACCATTTGAAAATTATGGTCTCAACACATTTTATGACATAAACTAATATAGCATCATTTTATCAACAAAAGCAATAATAATAACAATAACAAATTATTTATTGATCGAAATTGTACAATTCAAATTAGTGACAAGTTGTGTAATCAAATTTTGTATATTTAATTCACTTTTTTCCTTCTCATTTGTTAATTATTTTTTCCTGTCAATATTTTTAATTCTTAAGGTAAAGCATATAATAAAATTTTATGTTAGCATTCCGTTGTCATCCAAAATATGAATGCCAATTATGGCATATATTGTGTTAAAGTAACCAATGATAATGTTCAAGTCGTTTGTATTTTATAAAAACATTTGCGGAAGAAAAAAGAGAGGATAAAATTTCAAGATTTAAACAAAATTTTAAAAAACGATGACGATGCTCACAATTAAAAAAACAATATTATTGAAAAATCAATTCGTTCTCATATTCTTACACACAGGAAAAAAATCTGAAATTGGAAATACTGCAAATTTTTATGTGAAGGAAAAAATTTGAAATTGGAAATAAATAAATATCGATTAGAAAATTGATAAAAATTCAAAAATTTTTATTCATAACTTGATTGCAATCAATTTATGTATATTGTATTAACATATCTATCCTTAGTAGTATTATCATTTCTCTGTATTAATAATTTATAATTTATAACTGAACCGATAAATCATTTTAGTAATTAAATTTTATAATGTGTTATTTATTTTTAAAGTGGACTATAAGTTACATACTTTGTATTATTTGCAAAAAAAAATAAATTAAAGGAAAGAACTAAATTTTTTAAAAAAAATTGAATATGCATATATTGTAGAAAAATATGAATTCATGAAAATTTTCAAATTCATTATCATTATTATTAATATTATCAGCAGCATTATCATTAATAATTCATAATTTATAACTGGATTGACAAATCATGATATGATGGGTGATCTTGTTGAATATTTTCAGCTTTATGACTTTTTGATGAACTTTGCCCAATACTTATTACATTAGAACTAGATGTAATTGATGATATGCTATCATCCCAATCATATCGCATTGTTAACTCAATACCATTTTCATCTGCTATCTATAAAATATTATTCAAAATTTAATATATTAGACTTTTTTTTCCAATCAAACCTATATTTTTAATTTATCTGTTTGTTTAATTATTTCATATATTTAATTCATGCTTATTTCAAGAAATGTAAGTTTCCTATTGTACTCTTTCCTTATTTTTTAATAGAATGAAGTAATTCAAAGTAGAAAAAACGGTTTTTTTTTCTTTTGGCAATCCAAAGCACTATAAAATACTGTAATTAATTGAAAAACAAAAAAAAAGTAAAAAATGAAGCTAATCAATGAAATAAACAAAAAACGAAAAACAATACTTCATTCAAAATATTGTGAAATGTAGCATATGGTGGTGTTTCATCAAATTGCAATTTATCAATAATCTGCAAAATTTGATCATACTGTAATGGACAATCTTCAAGAAATGCTTTTTTGTTGTTGTACGAGCATTTTCTTTAGCTGTTTGTACGAGTAAACGATCTAAAAAAAAAAATATTTTGAAAGACTTTATTCATTTCATTTTTCAATTTTTTTTAAATATACTTAAATATTTTTGTACAAATTTAAGTTTAAGAATATTAGTGCAAAAAAAAGAAATATAAAATCATTTTACCAGTAAGAAAACGCCATGGAAGTGACCCTTTAGTAAATTCAACTATCATATATAACCATGATTCAAGATCGTCACGTCGTGATAAATCTTGTCGATGATGAGCATTTAATGAACCATATCGTGTCGTACCACGCCAACCCATTTCACCACGTGATGGTAACACTTCCAAATTCTGTAATTATTTTATCTATTATAATTATTCTTTTTATCTTTATATATGTTTTTTTTTTATTGGTGCTCAGCTTTCTGAATGTTATTTAAAGCTTGTTATTAATTGATCTATTTTAACCTAAAATTAAAAAGCAAATATGAATATCAGTTTTTATCTTTTTTTCTTATTAGTAAATATTTATCAAATTTAAACAATTTATCGATTATTTTGTTATTTATAAATTGATTAATTGTTCATAATTAGAATTTAATTGGATTTTTCAATTTCTCTTTCTTCTCGTGATATTATTGTTAGTTTTTTTTTTCCAATTAGTAAATTAACATATTAAGCAACAAACTCGATTAATATAACGTCTTGCAAGACCAAAATCAAATATGAAAATGCAATGATGTTGATGATCAGCCTTATTGCCAATTGCAAAATTGCCAGGTTTAATATCACGAGAAAGGAAACCACATTGATGTAATTCTTCGATAGCATTCAATGTTTGTATTGCTATTCGAATTGATGTTGCTTGTTTTTTTTTTTTTAATCATACTTGGAAAAATTAAAGAAAAAAGAAGCAAATTTTTATGAATTTTTTTTGTAGACTCTTTCAATTTACTAAGTTAGCATAATTTATGACAAAAATTAACCAGAAATCTCAGAAATTTGCTAAGTTAGATATGATGCCAAAAAGTTTAAAATTTTTGCAGAACTAATAAATAAAATTCCGCAAAGTTTCCAAATCTTTTAATCGAAATCCTTTTCGAAAATTTAAAAGAATGTCAAACTTTTTTTTTAAAAAATTTTACTTGTTAGGATCAAAAAAAACGCTATAAATAAAGCATACGGAGTGTAAAATGTCGATTAGGTTGACGATTTCTTAACTTGTTTAAATCTGGTCCAAGTAATGACATCACAACAAACATAAATTCCTGTTTAACATGTCCCTACAAAAATATTATAACTAATTTAGTTATAAGTTTTAAATTAGGACGACTTATATTGACCATATTTGATTATTATTATTTTAATTCCTGGAATTATTTTATCAGCTATCATTTTGACAGTATCAAAATCCATTTAGACTAGTAGTAAGAGCAGTTAATCATTTCATATTATCTAATAACAGAAATTTAAATTGAACAAAACAGTTTAACAATCTTTTTCTTATACAAATTAATAAAAAGCATACATAATCGTATATCTTGCAGATATGCTTACAATGTCGTCGATTTGCTACTTGTAATGCTTCAATTTCAATTTTTAATACTGTTTTACTGAATTTTTCAGCTTTTAATGCAACCAATCTGTGAAATTATTTTGCACCATTTTAGGATAATTTAGCAATGCAAGTAACAATGATTGTAATGAAAATGTGACAAAATAAACGAGCTAATTAATTGATATTTAATAATTAGCGAACGCAAAATATGCATCGTTTTAAAATAACAATACAAACAATAGTGATGATAATAAAAGCGAGAAAGAATGAATAATTTAATCAATTAATAAATAGCAAATATGAAAGATAATCGAAGATTTTTCATGTCAACGTTGTATTAACAATATTTTGTTATCCATTTTATCATTATCATTATCATTGTTAATATCAATTTCTGCAGTATTTGATATTTAATTAAATTTCATCTTACTTGTAATAATTCTCAACATTTAGTTATAACAAGAAAATGAATGCTATACACTTGTATTTTATAGCTGAACATAAAAATTTTAACTTTTTAATTCATTTATCGTATCAGAATAGATTTAAATAAATTTTTCACTTACTTTTCATCATTCTCACATTTGGCCAAAAAAACACTCCCATAACCACCTTCACCAATAACTGATATCAATTTGTAAGCTTTATTTCGAGCTGATAACACAATATCATCAACCTCAGGTAATCGATCATTATCCGAAATTATTTGTTCCTTATCCATTTCCATTAATTATACTATTTCCAATTAAGCAACAGATAATTCATTCCATATACTTTGCCAATATTTCGCAATGTTATGGAAATCGATCACAGGCTTGTATGAACTTAAAAATGAATATTGCTTATTTAGTTCACTTTTATTTGATTTTAATCGAAATGAAATTTGCATATGGCAAATTATTTTATAAGTTTCAAATGATTTGCAAACATTATATATTTGAAAATCATTTTCAACAGTATATATTATTTTGTGAACATTTGGAAAAGGAAGCTGCATGTAATGCAAATAACATGCATACTTAATAAAATGTTCCTGCAAGTTTTCTCTAATCTAATTAACTACAGAAACAACTGTGCACTGTGAAATTTGCTCATTTGTTTCAATCAATTAGCAAAATCAGAGATTAAAGGGAAGTAATGATTATTTGAAATTTGGTCTGTTTTATTTTTGAAATCTTAATGATATATTTTATAAACAAATGATAACTTACGGAATATTATTGAAAGTAATTATTACTTTTTTTTCTTTTTAAAACATTCCTATATATTCGTAATCATTTTAATTAAAATGAAGTTCTAAAATAAAAAAGTATGCTAGAGAAACAAATGTCAAGTAAATGATAAACAAAGTGGATAGTGAATATTTAAACAATTCTAGAAAAAAAAGTGCTTTCAAGATCATAAAACATCACATTTATGACTGCAGCAATTATTAATAATTAATCAATCAATTAATTAATTAATCAGTCATCGTGAAAAAATGGCATAAAATTGGGAAATCAAAAAATCAGGATAAAAAACGGGTGACTAAACGTTACGTTGGGATACTTTGGTCTGATATCTAATTATTTGATTTGGATGTCTAAATTGATAATAATTGTTGATAAGAAATGCCAATTGATATATGTTAGGATGCATTGATAGAAGGAATTTAACAATAAAAAGACTACAATTTTTCCTTTTATACAAAATTATTCACAAAAATGTTTTAAAAATTATTTACCAATGTAAATAAAGTAATGTAAGTTATAAAACTTTAATCATTTGAATGATTTAATATGGAACAATTGATATCCAATACGTTAAAAAAAAGCAAGAAACCTGGAAAGTTCTATTGCTTATGGGACTTAATGAATTTTTTGTTTGTCACGAAATTAGGATAATTGAATCCGTGAAACTTCAAAAATTAAATCTAAAAAAAAAGTCGAAAAATTGAATTTACTGGTAATTAAATTCATAATTAAATCCCATCTGTTCATTTCAAAAATGAATATCAAAATTTTTTCCTCCCTCTAATTTTGCATTCTGAATTTGAAATATGCCGTAATTGTAAGCATTTTGCAGGTGAATGTTTCACAGGTGAAAAGTTAATTGACAATTAACAATTTCATGAAAGAATAGAAACACTGTATGTATAACATTTTGAATAATTTAAGTGAAAAATAGTCCCCTGAAAAAGCTCTATCAAAACTATACCATTCAGGAACTTTTATGATTCCATTGTTGTTTTCTTTCACTCACACTTTATTCTCCTAATTTATGAATGCATGAACGATTAATATTTGTAAATCGAAAAGTTTTATTTCGCTTTTTCTTATTCAAAAAATAAAAAAGAGCCAAAGAAAGAACTTATTATTGATTTCTTTTTATATTATTTATTAGCAATCCTTCTTATTCATAATATGATGGAATTAAACAAAAAGTAATTTAAGTCAATTTAGAATTTGTGCCTTATAAAAAAGCAATTTATTTTTCTTTTTGTTTTAAGAAAGTCATTTGGTACATTTTATGCAACTATTGCATATGTTACAAATTTTAATCATTATCTTTTAACACCCATTTGTTATCATTGATAATGTTTGATGATTTAGATTATGTATTGATGAATTAAAATGATTATTATTAAATGTTGTGTGTTCAATATTCTTCAAAAATTAAATGTATATAATTATTTTATCATATCTGCTCTTATTATCAGTTGATTAACTGTTTAGGTGAATGATATAGATGAATAGTATTTGACATCACATAATGTAATATTTATGGTGGCACACATAATACTTGTGATGCAGTTTGGCAATAAAAAATAAATAATGAAAAAAGCGCAACTATTAGTACAGATTATATCACAAAATCAGGAATGATAAGTGATAATTGATGATTATCATCCATTTATTGTGAAAATTTGAAAACAGAAAATGAGCGATAAGAAAGAAAACAGCTAATATTAAGGATATCATCAAAAAAAAATCAGATGTGATTGATTAATAACTGATGATTATTATCAATTTATTGATGCATTATTGTAAAATTTTTATAAAATTTCCAATATAAAAAAGCAAATACTTTCATTTGGCAAAAGAAAAAGACAAAAACAAAATTAATTACTGTGAATAATTTCCCTACTCTTTTCAACAATTTTCAGATTGATAAAATAATTTCCGTGATATCTTTATGGTATCATTTGAAAATTTTAATTTGTGATTAGATAGGTTAAACGGTAAATGTTACACCTAATTTGTCCCCATTTTTCTTCAATATATCGTAAATACGGTTTATGTGGATGAAAAAAAAAAAAA